CTGGATTGTTTCTGGATTAAGGATCTAAATCTGTGACCTGATATCATCAAATTACTAGAGGAGAATATTGGGGAAACTCTGTAAGACATTGGTGTTGGCAAAGACTTCTTGGAAAAGATCCCGGAAGCATAGGCAATAAAAGCAAAAATAGACAAATGGGATTACATCAAGCTAAGAAGCTTCTGCACTGCAGAGGAAATACTCAACAAAGTGAAGAAGGAATTGACAGAATAGGAGATAATATTTGCAAACTATGCCTCTGATAAAAGATTAATATCCAGAATCTATAAAATGCATAAGAAACTCAACAACAACGTTAGTATTTTTATGTCAGAAACTTTTATTTAGTTGAGGCAGAAGGACGGAGAGACACAGACAAGAGCAAGCTCTCATCTACCTATTTACTCCCTAAATGCCTCTAAGAGCTGGAGCTGGGCTGCAGCTGAAGCCAGGAGCTAGGAACACAATCCAGATCTCCCACGTGGATGATAGGAACCCAGTTACTAGCTAGAGGTTGGTATGGAACCTAGGTACTTTGATAGGGGAAATGTGTGTATTAACCATCAGGCCAAATGCCCAACCCCAGCAAATTATTCTTAAAACTCTATTTGTTAAAAAAAAATTAAAAAATTAAAAAAACTCTATTTGTTTATTTATCTGTAAAATGGAGGTAAAAGATCCTTTGCAGAATTATTATAATTTGTGTATAGTGCCTAGAAAATTGCCAGGCTTGTAGTTATTCTGTCTTTATTCCTCATTTTATCTTTTGCCTTTAGCAGTCATTTGGTGCAGATGTATATAGTAGACATTCATGAATGCAGGTTGAAAAGATTATCAAATTTTAATAGCATAGGGGAACATTTAATTAGCTATATTATCTACAGATAGATTTAGTAAAATATTATTTGAACTTTAGTTCTTTTTTGTTTTTATTTTTTTTTAAGATTTATTTATTTATTTGATAGGGTTACAGAAAGAGGGAGAAAGAGAGAGAGAATGAATCTCCTGTCCATTGGCTCACTCCCCAGATGGCTGCAGCAGCCATGGCTGGGCCAAGCCAGAACCAGGAGTGAGGAGCTCCATCTGGCTCTCCCACGTGGGTGGCAGGGGTTCAAGCACTTGGGCTCTCCTCTGCTGCTTTCCCAGGCTCGATAGCATGGAGCTGGATTGGAAGTGTAGCTGCTGGGACACGAGCTGGTGCCCTAATGGGATGCCAGCTTCACAAGTGGCAGCTTTACCCTCTATGCCATACCAGCCCCTCCCCTTCTAAAGAAGCTAAGTAGCTGTTGTTGCTTAAGTGGTCTAATGGTGTACTTTTCTTTTTAACCTAAAATAAAGTAAGAACCTCCTGGAGGGATAAATCAGATTTCTGTGGATCCATAAAAGCATATAATTATTTTGTTAATTTATAGAAAAACTCTTTTTAATTGTCTTAAAAGTTTTCTTACTCTAAACTGGTATGTTCGTAGATAAATAAGCATCATTCATCCTCTTGTCCTGATACTTAGAGTTTTAAGGAAGAGATTTGCCCAGTCATGTGCATCTCTAAAGTATTTATGTAGGTACTTGTAATTATTTTAAAAATCCTCTTTGCATGTATTTCATCTGTAAGTATTATTCTGGTTATTCGCTGTGGAGGGTTTAGAGGTCCTTATACCATTCTCTACAAAATGAGTGCCCTGTAATTCCAGTACTCTATCTCATAAGGCCAAGTGTTCTCTGTTTAGAGATCATTAAAAAATTCCTAGGCATGAACTGCTGAATTTTTAAATAGTATTTAGTAAATAATGACAAATGTTGATATGAATGTATTTTTAAAATCTTTATGTCTAAGAAAAATAACATTAAACAACTAATATTAAAAATTTTGGTAGCTAAATAACATTTCAGGAGATGGAGCAATTGCATTGATAATTAGCATAATATTTGAATTGCAGAAAAACTCTTCAATTTAATGAGTCCAATCTTTTTTCACTTAAGAGTCCTATAAAATCATAAAGATTTTTAAGCGAAATGATTTCTATTTAGAATTCTGTTTGGAAAATACTTTTCCGAGCAGAAAGTTTTGAATTATATACCTTTGGAAAGGTTGATTTTTTTTTTTTTGACAGGCAGAGTGGACAGTGAGAGAGAGAGACAGAGAGAAAGGTCTTCCTTTGCCATTGGTTCACCCCCCAGTGGCCGCCGCGGCCAGCGCGCTGTGGCTGGCGCACCGCGGCTGGCGCACCGCGCTGATCCGATGACAGGAGCCAGGTACTTATCCTGGTCTCCCATGGGGTGCAGGGCCCAAGCACTTGGGCCATCCTCCACTGCACTCCCTGGCCATAGCAGAGAGCTGGCCTGGAAGAGGGGCAACCGGGACAGAATCCGGCGCCCCGACTGGGACTAGAACCTGGCGTGCCGGCGCCGCAAGGCAGAGGATTAGCCTAGTGAGCCGCGGCGCCGGCCTGGAAAGGTTGATTTTTAAAAAGTTAACCCTCTAAAAATTAAGTTCTTAATGTGAAAAGGCATAGTTATTCTGCTTTAACTTTGCTGATGCTGATGAGTGGACGTCTGTTAATCAAGAGTATTTACTAGTGGGCCTTCCCATCTCTCATTGTCATTAACATGCTGAAAGGTGCCTGCTTTCAGCTGCATCTCAGAAACGTATGTATACATAGAATAATGCGACTCTGCAAATAAGACCAAAGGCTGCCTTGATGTAAATGTTCATCGGTGTAATACCTTAGCTTTAGTTCTATAACAGTCATGTGTATTTTTCTCCAGTAAAATTTTAAAGAGCTCATTGAGAAATAATTGATATGATAAATGGTACACATTTAAAGCATGCCGTTAGAAAAATATTGGCATAGGCACATATCTGTGAAACCATCATCATAGTCAGCATAGTGAACATTGCCATCGCCCCCAGGTGATGTGCCCTTTCTTCCTCTCTCACTACCGACCCTGCCCTCCCTTCCCCCAGGCAATCACTGATTTGCCATTGCTGTAGATTATGTTGCTTTTTAAGAGTGTTATGTAAGTGGAATCATACAGTATGCATTTATTGTTCAGGTCTGGCTTCTTTTATTCCATGTAACTATGTGAGATTCATCTGTCTTGTTGTGTGACCGAGTCATTTATCCTTTTTATCACTGAGACATTGTCACTGTAGAGATGTGCTGCAATTTGGTAACCCAGTCACCTAATGATGGACATTTGGACTGCTCTCAGTTTTTCACCATTACAAAGAAAGCTGAAGTCTTCAGCTGGTATGAGCATTGAGTGTGTTTTAATCTTGTTTTCAAGTTTTGCCACCTCCTGGAAGTCATGGCTATCACCTCGTATCATGCAGTGATGTTTCAGGCACCTTTCCCAGCAGCTTGGTAATTAGGGAAGACTATGTAAATACTTAACTTTAAGCTTATTTCCTGCATTTTACTCATTAGAGGTACTGATTATGAGAAAGAAAAGATCTCATTTTGAATTTTGAAATCCTAACAGCCTGGCCAGCATTATCTTACCTTTTATAATACCCCTAAATAAAAATTTTAAATGTAACTAAATTGAAACCTCTAGTCCTTAATTAACCAAAGAGCTTATGCAAATACTTTCTTCACTGTAATGATGTTATGATGAATATTTTTCTAAAGAGAATACATGTTTCCTAATGACCATATTTTCTTTCCATAAGTAAATGTGGCAGTAAGTCTATCATAGTTATCAAGTTTTCTCTAAACAAGGAAACATAGGAAAGATCCTCTAATGCCATACTTAAAAAAAAATTGTGACAAAATCTAATTTGTGTCTTTTATTAGTGAAAAAACTTTTTATTGTTCCCCATTTTTTTACTTAACTCAAAATTTACAGTAACTTCTAAAAGGAATGTTTTTTATATAATAAGATTTCAAACTCTTGAAAGAATTTTCTGTGAAGTTTCCTTTTCAAAGAAAAATAAACAAAGCTTAGTATCTGTTGGTCGTTTCTACTTGTTTGTCTTTGACAATAAGTGCGTGTGTGTGTGTGTGTGTGTGTGTGTGAATCAAGATATACTATGGCATACACATATATTAAAAGACACCTTTCTTGTTTGCATTTCTAGCTTAAGAATAGACTTTTAATTTTTAGGCCATTTCATTTAAAGTAAAGAGAGATTTATCTTCCTTGATATCAAATATGTAACCTTGATACACATCACAGTTTTGTCTTTTGATGTGTTTTCTAACGAGGGTATTGTTATTCTATAACTTTTAATTCTTTACTTAGAACTTCTTATTATAGTCTGAGTGAAGAATTCCTTTCCCAGTAGAATCCTATTCATGTATTCAAGTGTTAAATACTTTTAAATATATCATCTTTTTATGTTGGGTTATTGATTGAGGATTTTGTAAATTATATCTTCCAAATTATTTCATTGTTTCTTTTTTTTCAAAGATTTATATTTTTATTTATGTGAAAGGCACACAGAGAGAGAGAGAGAGGGATGGAGAGAAAAAGAGAACGATTTGGTTCATTCTCCAAATGGCCACAATAGCCAGAGCTGGGCAGGCTGAAACCAGGAGCCAGGAGTTTCTTCTGGGTCTCCCATGTTGTGTGCAGGGACCCAGGCACTTGGGTCATCTGCTGCTGCTTTCCCAGGCAACCTTAGCAGAGAGCTGGATTGGAAGTGGAGTAGCCAGGACAGAAACTGGTACCCATATGGGATCCCAGCATTAGAATTTGCAGGCTAACCTACTAGGCCACAATGCCGACCCCTCCTTGTTTCTTAATACAGTGGAAACTAATTTGATGGAATGGCTGTTTATTTTCTTTCTGTGACTGCTACTTTTTTCTCTTATTAAAATTATATTGAATTTTGCATAGTACTTGAATAGAAATCACTTTGGGTTATTTATTTATTTATTTTGGCTCCTTTCTTTTTTTTTTTTTTTATCAGTAGAAAGCTTTATTTGTAGGAGTAAAGAATAAACTAGCAGATGATTTAAACTAAGCACAAAGCTAATACTAGTATTTCCTTTCAGATCTCTATAAAAATGGACTCCAAAGAGCTAACTTCGTACCATTTATAGCTGTCCTGAAGGTAAGAAAATTCACACACTTGGGTTTGCTGATTGACATCAGATTGGCTGCCAGTCGAAGACTCTACTGAACTACCTTGGCCTTGGGTTCAAGCAGAATTCATTGTGACATTTGGACAGAAAATACTAGGCACAGGCACTAAAGGAGAAAACAATCTTTTTTATGTACTGTGTATCCATTTGCACATGATAAAAATTACAAAACCTAGTCTAAATTATTGTCTAACTGAAACATTTGATAGTTTGTATTTTAAAATTTTTAATTTGAGATTTACTCATAAATATTATAGTGGAATGTTTAAACTTATACATTTATTTCTGGAAAAAAATGTTTCATGTTCCCTGTTTCCTTCAGGTTAATGGTCATTAGCATGTTTTCCCAGCTATTGAAGTTGCAATTCTAGAGTAGCATTATTACAAAAATATTCTAATATATTTAAATGTGATTGCCATCAAGTTATCATGAAATTATGTCAAGTTGAGGCACCTAAATAGTTTAAATATTTGTGTGTGTCATCACTGCATAGAGTTTAAAATAGTCTTCATTACAATATGATTAAGGATAAAATAGTCTCCTTTTTTACTGTTAATTCTAAGTAATCTTTGCATCATTATTCAATATACTTCCACATTCTACCAATAATTTTTGAGAACCTACTATGTGCAAAGTGCTACATGAGGCATAATGGGTAACGTGATTATTAAATAGGCCATTACTATAATCTAGTTGAGGATATAGTATATACACATATACCAGAAAGCAACATGTGTAGTGGGTACCAAAAAGAAGCATAATTATGTGCCAAAATTTAATTTTTGTAATTTTAGGGACATAATTTTTGCCAGCTCATGTCAGCATATCTGAAGACAGACTAAAGTATTTTTCTAAAATAAAAAAACTTAAAACTTCATAAATTCTTACCAAGAAGGAGGAGTTAAAATACTTTATCTCCAGATATTCTAAAGATGTAGGCAATCTTTTCGACACATATTTTAAACTAGAATTATTGTTAGTGCCAAACTTTATTCCCTATGCTATACTTAGGGGAATTAACACATCTGTTTCCTTGAACAATTTTAGGTTCTGAAGGATTTCGTTTTTTTCTGAGATATTTATAGATGTAAGGGAAAGTACTTTTGGAAGCTTTTTGCTGTTAGTAATTTTTTTCGCTTATTTTCATGTTTTGAATTTGGGGAGAAGGTTGTTTTGCAGCTTTTTCTCCACACTAAAAATCTAAAGTAAGATGGTATATCCAGACACTTTAGTATATACAAGGAAACTAAGAAAATGAAATGCTAAAAATAGTGTCTCCGTATAGCACAACATACACAGATATAAAGACAGAAGTCTTGAAGAATGAAATAAACCAAGAGATTCTCAGGGAACTTTGTAGCTATACCTTTTTTTTTTTTTTCCTTTGTGGCCAGTACTATGGTTTGAATAGGATATGGCTTCCAAGCTCAAGCAGAGAGTTAAATCCCCAAGTCATAATTTAGTGGTACTAAGAGGGTGGGTACCTTGAGGTCCATCAATAAGTGAATAAATGTTATTATGTATGCATAAAATGGGTGATTATTCTTCCACAAGATGGGAATGAAATCTTTACATGTCTTATAATACAAATAGCCTTGGAAACATCATGCTAAGTGAAATAAGCTAAACACAAAAGGACAAATAAATGATCGACTTACACAAAGTGCCTAGAAAAGACAAATTCCTAGAGCCAGAAAGTGGAATCCAGGTCCCCAGGGCCTGGGAGGAGGAAGGGAGTATTTGATGGGTACAAGAGTTGCTGTTCAGGGTCAGGGAAGTTCTGGAAATGAATGGTGGTGGTGGCTGCTTAGCATTGTGAATGTACTCAGTGTCACTGAAGTATGTGGGTAAAAATGATTAAAATGGCAAATTTTATGTTTATTTTACCGTAATGTTTTAAAAATGAAAAGCAAAAGCCTTGGACCTGGAGAGGTATAGAAATTGCTGAGGGGCATCTCCCCAGTCCCTGTAACAAAGCAAAGCAGAGCAAAGCAAAAGAGAAGGAAAGCAAAACAGGGAGACTCCTCTTGTGCTCTTGCACGCTCTGGAGTTTATTGTGCTGTTCTTTTTCTAATTTGCTGAGATTAATTTTTACCTCATTTCAACCTTCTTTCCTAAATGCATTTAAGGTTGTATATTTCCCTCTCGTATTGCTTTAATTGCATCCATGAAGTTTTAAAGGTTAAATTAATTTGATTTATTTATTTGAAAAACCAGCGAGAGGGGGAGAGAGTGCATGAGAGGTTGAGCTCGTGAGCGCCCCCATCTGTTGGTTCGTTCCCTAAACGCCTACAATGGTCTTAGTTGGGCTGGCGGAAGCTGGGAGCCAGGAACTCAATCCAGGCATAGGTGGCCGGGACTCATTGCTGCCTCCCAGGGTAGATATGAGCAGGAAGCTGGAGTCAAGAGCTGGAGCTGGATGCTGAACCCAAGTACTCTGATGTAGGATGGAACATCTTAACTGCCATGATAAATGCCCACCCCCTCCATAAAGTTTTGATAGTTAGTATTTTTTTATCATCATTAAATTCAAAATATTTTCTAATTTCCATTGTGATTTCTTTAGCTCAGGGGATATCTAGAAGTATGTTACCCTATTTCTAAACCTAGGAGGATTTTCTGTTTATCATTTTGTTGTTTTTTTCTGATATCTTAAGATTTTTATCATTTACATTTTCTAAACATTTATTACAGAAAGAGAGAGTTAGTGAGACAGAAAGCATTTCTGGCTGCTGTTCATTCCCTAAATGCCTGCAATGGTCATGGCTGGGCCTGGCAATAGCCAAGGGCTAGGAACTCAATCCAAGCTTCCCGTGTTCGTGGCAGGGACCCAAGTACTTAAGCCTTCCCCTGCTGCCTCCTCGGGTTTGTACTAGTTGGAAGCTGAAGTTGGGAGCTAAGCTGGGACTTGAACCAGTCACTCGGAATGAGATGTGAGTGTCTCAGCTGGCAGCCTAACTGCTTGCCCAACACCCTCTTGTTTAAAACTTTTGATCAGGGCAGGTGTTATGTTACAGTGGGTTAAGCCACTGCCTGTGACTTTGGCATCCCAAATGATACTAGTTCAAGTCCTGTATGCTCCACTTCCAATCCAGCTCCCTACTAATACACCTGGGAAAGCAGCAGAAGATGGCTCCAGGCCCCTGCACCCATGTGGGAGACCCACAAGAAACTCCCGGCTTTGGCCCGACCCAGCCCTGGTCATTGCTGCCATCTGGGGAGTGATGGAAAATCTGTCTCTCTCTGTGTCTCTCCCTCCCTTTCTCTCTGTAATTCAGACTTTCAAATAAATACATAAATAAACCTTTAAAAAAACTATTTTGATGAACATATAATACTTGTATGTTTTTATGAGGTATAGTGTAATTTTCCAACAAATACACAGAGTATAGTTTCCTTAACAAATGCTTGGTTCCACTGTGGTGACAGAATATGCTATGTCTGTAGTCTGCCAAGTTTGTTCAAATTTACTTTTATGTATAGCATGTGGAAAATTTTTACAAATATTCTTTTTATTATTTAAAGTAGTGAGTACTCTCCAGTAGTGTATTATGCTATACATTTCATAATCAGATAAGGTTTTTAATTATAGCATTCAAATCATTGTTCTTATATTCTTTTCTCATCATTTACAGGGAGCCTTGTAGAAAACATCTCCCAGTATGATTGTAAATTTGTTTATTTTTCTTATAATTCTGTACATATTTAGAGGTTATAAGTTGCATACAAATTTTAAATGATTAAATGTTTGTTGCTTGTGAAAGGAACTTTTAAAATCATTAAGCAGTAAAGTTTTTTGTTTCTACTATATTCATAACTGCCTGTTAAAGCATTTTAAAGAGATTTATCTATTTATTTATTTATTTAGATTTATTTTATTTATTTGACAGAGTTACAGGGAGAGGTAGACACAGAGAGAGGGAGAGAGGAATAGAGAGAGAGATCTCCCATTCCCTAGTTCACTCCCCAAATGGCTGCAATAGTCAGAGTTGAGCTAACCCAAAACCAGGAGCCAGGAGCTTCTTCCGGGTCTCCCACATGGATGTAGGGGCCCAAGGACTTGGGCCATCTTCTACTGCTTTCCCAGGCCATAGCAGAGAGCTGCATTGAAAGTGGAGCAGCCAGGACTTGAACCAGTACTCATTTGGGATGCCGGCACTTCAGGCTGGGGTTTTAACAAGCTGTATCATAACACTGGCCCCAAGAGATTTATTTTTTGTTTGAAAGATAGAGTAAAAGAGAGAGAAAGGGAAAGAGAGAGAGAGAAAGAGAGAGATATCTTCCATCCACTGGTTCACTCCCCAAATGGCTGCAATGGCTGTGACTGGGCCAAGCCAAAGCTGGGAGCCTGGAACTCCATCCAGGTCTCCCATATGGGTGGCAGGATCCAAACACTTGGGCCATCTTCTGCTGCTTTCCCAGGTGCATTAGCAGGGAGGTGAGGGCTGACCCTTCTGTGTCACAACGCTAACTCCCCTCAAAGCATTTTTATCAAGACATCTTTAAATCTTTCTCAGGTAATTCTAGCATCTCTTCATCTTGTCGTAATCATCTATTGGTTGTCGTTTTACATCCAGTTTGCGATCTTTGTTTTTGGTTTGAGTGATTCTTCAATTGAAACTTGAATATTTTTATAATTTGTCATGAAATTTTGGATCTTATTTTTGTAATCAAACTTTTTATTCTGGTAAAATATACATAACATAACATTTCCTATTTGGACCATTTTTAAGTATTAAGTGACATCAAGTATATTCATCATTACTTTCCATCTCCGGATTTCTCATATTACCAAATATCTGTTTGAAACAGTTACTCATTACATAAATCTTTTTCTCCCAACTCCTGATGGCCACCATTTGACTTTCTATCTCTATAAATTTGTCTTTTCTAGGTATCAAAAAGTGAAAAATATTTGTCCTTTGTCTCATTTGATTTAGCATAATATCTTCAAGATTTAACCACATG